TTGGAACATGGAATATTCTCTGAACTTCTGAAAATTGCAATTTGGCCCAGAATTTTTAGAAAATTATGGTGTGGCCCAGCTTTCGGGGATGTTTTTTAGTAAGGTCCCTGGAAGTGCAGCGAAGGTTGATCCTAGCTAAACGGGCCGTTCTAGATGCAACCGCGAGATCAGAATAGTGAAATTCTGAACGGTTTTTTGAAAGATTATCAAAACATGGGAGTTTGTCATCTTCAATAGTCGAAGGAAGGTTACTGAATATTGTGGAACGTTGCGGATTCACTGAAGAGGTCAGAATGGGCAGATTATGACCAGATTGGACAACCAGATACAAATCAAGATAGATCATTGAAGATTAAAGGAGATCAGGCTTGATCAAATGGCAAATCAAGGGAGATCAGGATTGGTTAGAGGGTGATTAGAAGATTGTGGAGATAATTGTCTTCGGAGTTGATCAAAAGATTTGGTTCAATCAAAAGTCCATTCATCGACGGACAGATGATTTGCCAATAGTACAGGCTCAAGAAAATGTTGTGGCTATTGGAACCACTGTATACAAGTAGGTACTGATGGTATGTAGACGTGTAGAACAATAGTTGCAGAGGAGCATACTAAGCGTAGAAGCACAAATGCAGACCTGCAATAGTGCAAGGATACAGTGTCGTACAGAGACGCGAGAAGAGTGTGTAGCAACAGATTGTTGAAAGTTCACAGGAACTTCCAGATAGAGAAATTGAAACCGATAAAACGCAAGGGTGCGTGCCAAGGAGTGGCAAGTCTTTTTTTTCTATGGTAGTTTCTTTATTTCCATGGAAGCGGAGGATAGAGTTGATGCGGGTATCTCAAGCGAGCTCGACGCAAGGAGACCAGAAGCCATGGATGCGAGCACTATGCAATGAATTGTATAGCTGACGATGCTTTGACAAATGGAGCTACTGTCAACCATTAATCTACTGGACAACAAATCAGGGATTGCAAAGGCACAGACAACAAGCGTATGTGGAAACACTAGGAGGTTGTTCAGAAGTACAAAGGGCAAAGGCTGATAGTTCAGAGGAAAAGCTCCGAGCAAAGAAGACCGAGGACGTTGATCGGATAAACAACGAGTTTTCTATTGCTCCAATGACTGGTCCTGCGAGATAAGGCATGACTGTCATGGGCATCTCAGCAGGGGGTGCAGGACATCCAATCAGGAGGTGTTGGATATCTTGGTTACGCAAGTTCAAGCATAGTAAGTGAAGACATCCGAGACAAAAGCATGGAAGAGATGTGTGGGAGATAGGAGCAGAGGCTTTCTCTAAATTAGAGAGCGGTGTGAGTTAAGTTAAGGATGTAGGATTCCCTCATCCTCTTGTATCTTTGGTGTATTATCCCTAGCTTCAAGGGATGCAGTGTCTCAGTGAGGAGATGAAGATTCTGTTGAAATTTGGGCGTGACAAGATTAGTAGCAGTGTGTGCAGTGGATCACCTTACATGGGTTGAGGGGGTGATTTGTTGGATATATCATCACGTCATGTTAGGGGTGATACCAATGGAGCACCCACTTAGAGAAAGTGGGGGTGGTACCTCCCCATTAATGGGTGGGGGTGGCAACCGTCCCACTACCATAGTCTTCTCTTCCTCCTTCATAATTGTGTATAAATAGAGGAGGGGTTGGATAGGCAAAATGAGAGAGAGAGAGAGAAAGAGAAAGAGCAAACCAAAGGAGTGAGCGATGTGAGGCAGAAAAGGCTGTCTCTCTCGGTGTGAGCGAGGGAGACGGGAGAGTGGCTGAGTGAGGATAGTGCGAGCTCCTCCTCTATTGTAATCTTTCGGTAATCTCTCAATTGTTATAGTAATAACCGGTTACTCTCCCGTAGACGTAGGCATTGAGGCCGAACCACGTTAAATATGGTGTCTCCTTGAGTGTGGGTGTGTTTTTCTGCTTAGTATGATTTCTATAAGGTTTGGGGCGGAATCCTCGATCCCAACAAAAACTACATTGTTTGGTTAAATTTTAAAATAGTTTTTGAATTTTTATTTTTTGTGCTTTGTTAATTTTATCTAATCTAAATGTATTTAAAAGGTAAAAAAAAAATTGTGAAAAAATTTTACTCTCCCGTAGACGTAGGCATTGAGGCCGAACCACATTAAATATGGTGTCTCCTTGAGTGTGGGTGTGTTTTTCTGCTTAGTATGATTTCTATAAGGTTTGGGGCGGAATCCTTGATCCCAACAAAAACTACATTGTTTGGTTAAATTTTAAAATAGTTTTTGAATTTTTATTTTTTGTGCTTTGTTAATTTTATCTAATCTAAATGTATTTAAAAGGTAAAAAAAAAATTGTGAAAAAATTTAAAAAGAATTCAAAAAATATATGAAAATATATTATTTATTTTTATTATTTTTTTTAATAAACTTATTTTTCAAAAACATTTGAAAAATAAATTCTAAAAACTTAATGCAAATAGCGAACTGTATTTGTTTGGTTAAAATTTTTTTTTAATAGTTTTTGAATTTTTATTATTCGGGCTTTATTAAATTGGAAAAATTACTCATAAATCTCAGTTGGAGAAAAGTTATTCCATTTAGTCCTAAAAGTTTTCTTTCAAATCAATTACTTATTTTTATTTTGGGAATGTTGTATTTCCATGATTTGGGGTTTGAAAGTTTATTTGTTTGTACTTGTGTGTGATTTTGTTTGAATTTTTTTCAAATGTTGGGTGTGCGTGAGTAAGGTAAGTTTTTACATTTCTATTTATTTATTTATTTATTTCTTTATTTTTGTGGAGATTTAGTAGAGTTATTTGTAGGTGGATGATGTTACCCCGTTTGTGGTGTTATTGGTGTGGTGTTCGTTCTTTTTTGTGGTGTCATCCTTATTGTAACATTGACATTAATTAACATTCAAACGTAATACTAATGTAACACATAAAAAAAACTCATTACTATACTTTCCCAAACGTAATACTCCAATATAATACTAAAAAAAAAAACTCCTTAGTATAACACTCTAAAGTAACACACAAAAAAATTTCTTATTGTAACATTCTAATATAACACACAAAAAAATTCTTAGCGTATTTTTTCCAAACGTAATACTCTAATATAACACACAAAAAACTTCTTAATGTAATAGTCTAATATAACACACAAAAATTCTTTAGTGTAACACTCTAATATAACATACAAAAAAAAATTCTTGATGTACTTTTTTCAAATATATCACTCTAATATAATACTCTAAAAAAACTCCTTAATGTAACACACAAAAACTTCTCAGAGTAACACAAAAAAAAAAAAAAAAAAAACTCCTTAATATACTTTTTCCAAACGTAACATTTCAATATAACATTTCAAAAAAAAAATCTTAGTGTAACAGTTTAATGTAATACACAAAAAAATTCTTTGGTGTACTTTTCCCAAACGTAATGCTTCAATGTAACACAAAAAAAATTTCAAAAAAAAAAAAAAAAAAAAAAACTTCTTAGTGTACCTTTCCTAAACATAACACTCCAATGTAACACTAAAAAAAATGTGAGATTCTTCAAACCATTCCGAAAAGAGTACAAATATTCGTTAGTGAGTTTTGAACAAATGTATAATTTCAAACTGTGAGTATTACGTTTGAAAAAAAGTACACTAAGGAATTTTTTTTAATTTTTTTGTGTTATATTGGAGTATGTTACATTGAAGTGTTACGTTTGGGATTACACTAATTGAAGTATTACATTTGGAAAAAGTATACTAAGTATTTATTTATTTTACATTGGAGAGTTACGTTTGGAAAAAGTACACCAAATAATTTTTTTTTTTGTTTTGAGTGTTACGTTGCTACATTTGGAAAAAGTACACCAATGAGTTTTTTAGTATGTTACATTGAAGTGTTACATTATTGGAGTGTTACATTAGAGTTTAGCTTTCTGTTCGTAATGTGTGAAAATCTAAAACTTCTATAATACAAATTGCCCAAATGTGTAATTTTATATTTTGAGAAAATCACTTTTATTCCTAAAAAATTAAACCCAAACATGTAAGTGACTGCCCTTTTATGTAATTTTCACTTTAATGGGACCTTTTGGTTTATAAGAAAAAAGAGAGGACTAAGCCGTTCATAATATCACATTTTGGGATTTATTGGTGTTTCACCCTATTAAATTTAGATTTTTTTTTTTGTATTTTAGTTTTTTTTTTTTTAGATGTATCTAATCTAAATGTATTCAAAAAGTAAAAAAAAAATGTGAAATTTTTTAAAAAGAATTCAACAAATACAAAAAAAAATATGAAAATTAGGAAAATTTACCCATAAGTCCTAGTTTTTGAAACGTTGAACCATTTAGTCCTAAAAGTTTTCTTATGCTCCATTTAGTCTCATTTTTACATCAGCATGATGTGAATGATGTAAATGATTTGATGTTTCATTCTATAATTTCAAAATTTATTGAAATCTGATGAGCATTAGATGTTTTTCATCCTATATTTTCAAACATTATTGAAATTTGATGAACATTAGATGTTTGAAATCCAATGTTTGTAACATGACTCTCATGTTATTAACATTATATCTGATGTTATTAACATTGTAATGGGACCTTTCAGTCTATAAGAAAACTTTTAGAACTAAATAGTGCATAAGTTATTAATTTGGGATTTATTGGTGCATCCCCCAATATATTATTTATTTTTATGATTTTATTTTTTTTATAAAAAAAATTGGAAACTAAATTCTGAAAACTTAAAGCAAATAGCGGACTGTACTTGCCCAAAAAAAAAAAAAAAAAACCTTAATTTAGGGCTAGTTTGGCATGAACTAAATAAGCCAAAAAGTCAAAAAGTCACTATCTTATTTAAGTCACATCATCTTATTTAAATCACATCACCTCTCTAACACATCACATCAAACCCAACCCAAACCCACTAATAAATCAAAAAGTGCACTTTTTTAGGACATCCCAACCAACCATTAATTTAATTTAATTTGGGCCAGTTACGGGGAGAATGAGCATCATACGGTCCGCGTTTAATATAATTTTGGAGAGTACCACTCCAAGCAGTTCAACAAAGAGTACCACTACAAGGATTTCGAGTGGGATCAACTCAGACGAGAAATGGAATCCGACCCTTCTCTTCTCTACCAAGACTCAGACGCTTGGAACAAGTTTCACTCTCGTCACTCCTCCGGAAAAGTCTTCAAGGTTCAATTCAACTTCTTTCACATTCATATTGATGATTGTTTATGTGTGCTTGCGTATTAAACTGTATCTGCATCTGTTTTTGTGTCTACCTACACAGAATCAGTTGCACCCACATGGGTATTTTGTTGATTTGTTTGTTATAATATGGTTCTTGAATTTGAATGCAATGTGATGGGCTTTTCAATCCCAATCAAAGATTGATTAGGCAGCCACCATTTTTTGTGAAAATTCTTTTTTCTTTTTTACATCACCAACAAAATCAATGAGAGCAAAAGCGGATTCATCAAACTTGTGTGCATCAAAATTGATTTCAGTTTCGACATCCACCACATTACTCACATGAGAGCTATTATCCAGGGTTTCCTTTGTTTGAAGATTTTGCATGTCTAATACTGGAATTTGATTATCGGATGCAGGAGAGGCGATGTTTTTTGAGGGAATTTCCTGAACTATTGCCTTCTGATAAATATTCTAAGGTTTTTTAGGTGGGATGTGGTAATGGCAGTTCCATATTCTACCAATATTACCATGATTCTTAGAGATTCCTTTGTACCATTTGGCACTGATGTTATAAATTTTCAATTCTTGAAGTAATTCCTTTGAATTATTGTACTAGTTGAGGTACTCTTAAGATTAACGTTATACTAGTTTATGGGCTCCCTCATTTGAACTTTCATTAACCGTGGTTTCTGATATGAATAAAGCTGAACCTAGGAATTAATTTGGAATTAGATGTTGGCCAACCAAAGGGGATATCAAAGTTCAGGTTTCTCCTATTTAAGAATGAACTTGGTTTCTCCTTTGCAATCTATGCTAAATTTCTCAAACCAAATCAAGTCTTAAGTCCCATCAAATGAGGTCGGTTACATGAATCTTTCTTCTCTAACTGGCCCTATCAAAGGCCATTTCATTAGTCAAATTAAGTAAATTCATAACGCTAGCCAACGTTAATCTAGGCCTACCCTGTCCCCTAACGCTTCCATCTGCCGTTACAGTATCGCATCGTTTCACTACTGTCTCTGTTGGTCTCTGTTGAATATGACCTAACCATCTCAATCGATTCTCTCTCAACTTATCTTCTATCGGTGCTACTCCTACCCATTCCTGAATACACTAATTCCTAATTTTGTCTTGTCTAGTCTTACCACACATCCACCTTAACATCTTCATCTCAGCCACACTCATCTTATCTATATGTTGTTTCTTGGTTGCCAACACTCCGTCCCATACAATATCGTTGGTCTAATAGCCGTTCTATCCCAAATATGAAAATCAATTCCTTATTTTAAGATTATTGAATACAGAGCGTATGACAAGATGAGCCAAAGCAGAGAAAGGAGAGGGGATCAGTACCATGAGAGAGAGAGAGAGAGAGAGAGAGAGAGAGTAGATAGGTTAGGAAACGATCTAGAGAAGAGAGAAGAGAGAATAGAGAGAGGCTAGAAAAGAGGTTAGATTGAGAGATGAGAACAACAGCGTTAGAATAGAGAAGAGAAGGTAAAGGGGGGTGGGGGAGAGAGAAAAAGTGACATAAGAGGCACACATTTGAAGGAGATATTAAGACAATTCTCATGCACGTCCTGGTTATTTTTAATTCATATTACTTTCACTTGTTTGGAAGTCATCATTCATTCTTGACTGAACTCTACTTCAAAAGTGTTCCCAACTTGTGTCAATTGACAATACTTAGAAAATATGAGGAAGAAGAACTCCGAAAATATGAGGAAGAAGGAATATATTTCTGTTATATTCAAAACTTCTTATATTACAAGACCAAATGACACTCCTTATATAGGAGATATTACAAACATCATTATAACCCATTATATGCCACTTACATATTATATATTACCACTATCTACCACTATCATATTATATACATGCCACTATCTGCCACCAACACCACTATCATATTCTATACATGCCACTATCTGCCACCAACACCACTATCATATTATATACATGCCACTATCTTATTATATACATTAACACAAATTTCCAGCAACAATGGATGGTGAAACACAACTTTTCATTCTGTCGGCAAAGTCTAATTCTGGCTTCCCCACTAACAAGTATCTCTACTTGAGATTTGAGTAATAGGATTACAGTATACAGATTCCTGCTTACATAAACCATCCAAGGAGACAGAGTTGTTAGGGTTGTTGATGGAGTTAAGGGAGGTGTTCCCATATTGAGCTTTCTTGTTTGCTGGTAGGTTATGGCCTGCAGCTATTGATTTGGAAAATGAAGAAAAAGAAAATCAATCTATCTGAGTTTGCAATCATCTGCTCTTAAATTTCCAGAGGTTGGTGAGATACGTCCTCCTTTAGGAGTTTGGAAGAAGATTTTTTGGCAGATAGAGGAGTGACATATTTGGACGCATAGATAAGAGATAAGTACCCTCCGTGGGCAGTGGTGTCATGTGTCCCTTTTCTAGGCTTTGGGGTTGATCATTTGAATCTCTTTCTTTTGGTCCTTAAAAACTTTCTTATTAAAAATAAATATTTGCAATGTTGAGTAGCATGTGAATTTGCAGAGATTAATCCAATATCCTCAGGTTTCTGGCCTTAAACCTGATATACATTTTTTACCATCTTCTAGTGGAAAAGAGAGCATCACTGTATACTCATGTGATTGTAGCATTGAGGCTCTTTAAAGGCTGAAGAAGTGATAGATGCAGCTGATTTTGTCTCAGGAAAACACTGTTATCATCCATTCCCTTGTGATTTTTCTATTAGTGGATTTCTGAAGCGGTTGGCCTGGGATCCTTGCATTGAAGTTATTCTGCAAAAGCAGGACATTTGCCTTTTAGGTTAGTTACTTTATCGATTTCTTTGTACATATTATAATTTTGTGTGCTATTACCTGGAACTCAGCTAATTTTTTTCTGCTAATGTTGAACACAAGAGAGTGGCAGGGTTAAAATGTAAATGCTGCTTTGGTGGGGTGGATTTTGTGACCTTGGTATGTTGCTAGTTTTCCAAAAATGGGTCTTAATGCATTGTTGGGCATTCGAAGTTAGAAATTGTGAAGTGGGTTTGTCTACATGTCCTCTTAGGTTGTGTTTGGATCTTAGATTTGAAATTTGAAAAGAGATTTATACAGGCCCTCCAGTCTTCCTGGAAACTTTCCTGACTATGTTCGATTCTAGGGTAAATGGTGAGATCAGTTTTGAATTAAATTTCAGACTTTGAATTTTCTAGTGTTAAGTAAAGTTTCTGAAAAAACAGAATAGTGAAATTCTATTTTGATTTTTCAGAAATGGCTTTAAGAAGTGACAATAGAAAATGTTGTTCCACCTGACAACCTTAAGCCTTTCGAGGTTCTTAAAGGAAGATCTAGAGAGATTGAGTGTGATTAAAGAAAATCATAAGATTGCATGATAATATCTTTGAATTAATCAGAGGCGATTAGTATGTCATACTTGGAGGAATGTGAATGAAGTGTAAAGTAATTTTTTTTACTTTTCCGTCTCCTTTTCTTTCCCTTCATGAATCACTTGTCAAATCCAAAATCCGACACAACCGTAGGAATTTACTTTTTTTTTTCTTTGAAGAATTATAATGTAATTGGTAGCTGCATAATTGGCATTAGAAGCTGTGGTTGCTTAAATTTTGTGTTTGGATTTGTGGAGGAAACGGAAAAGTGAAATAAACTTTACTTCTACTTCATTCATTTTTCCCTTCCCTTTCCTTCCCTTCCCTTCACAAAACCCTCCACAACTCTAAGATCCAAACACAGCCTAAGTACAAATGTTCAAATTTCTTAAGGAATATCAATCTGAATATTTAGATGTTTGATATGAGTTATTGAGTGAATTTCTAGGTTATAGTTGAACTACTCATGTGAAATTCTATGTTTAATGTTTGTTCATCACTTTTTAAATTTGACCAATGAGTCTTTATTACTATTTTTCTGTAATGTTAGTTCTTAGCAAAACTAGGCGTTATGATTTTGTTGCCATGCATAAATATGCCTGAATATTTGACAATGTTACTGTCTAATCATTCAAGAACTACTTAGATATTTGACAAACCAATCCATTGCCTTGGTATATTCAAGGCTGTTCATCTTTTTGTAAATGAAATTCAGAACTTATTCACTGATGCCCTGCATGAATATTAAATTAAACTTCAAAGACCCTGAACTTGTGCCACCTCAAATCTGTTAGGAAGAAAAGAATATGATGAATTTTAGATCCTGATTTTTTTTTCTTGTATTTTGTGGCTGTCAGATATTCATGCTGTCGGCATTACCACTTCACAGGATGCCAACAGCAATTGCAGCATGTTTCTCTGTATTGAAACCTGGTGGCCTACTTCTATTCAGAGATTATGGTAATTTCCCAACAAAAAACATAAATGTATATTTATTCATAGGATTTTGGTTAGGACTGTTTGCTCAACATGAAAATTTTTCTTCAATTTTTTATACTGAATGTGTAGCCTGGAAGACTTTTATCTTGCTGCAGTAATTTTTAAAAAAAAAAGAGTTCCTTTTTATGTTTTTTTGCTTGATTTTGGATGAAAATCCTGAACCCTTACAAGTGAATTTATACGAGTGAATTGTTGATATCAAAAACATTTTAAGGATGGACAAGGGAAACACTGAAATTCTTTTTCAGTTTTATTTACAGTACTATGTTTGGAACTTGTTGAAATTTTAAGAGCATGATGAAAACTCTGGCCTTTATGACATGACGATGCTTCGATTTGAGCCAGCCAAAAAATGGATTCAAGGAGTACATGTGGTCTGATGGAACTCGTTCCTACTTTTTTTGTTTGCATAATGTGAGGGATCTCTTTGTGGGTGCGGGCGGGCTTCACTGAGGTACTAATCTTGTTTCTATCAGTTCGATGTTAACATAGCCGTGCCAACATAGGATGGTAGATTTTGGGCTTAGTTTAAGTAGCTTCTAGCAAGCTGAAAGCTGATAATCAGAAAGCAAATGCTAAAATTACCTCTCTCCTTGCTTCTTAGAATCAACTTTTTTTAGCTTCTTTGGGTTGTGTTTGGAGTATGGATTTGGGTAGGGATTTAGAAAGGAAAAGGAAAAGATAGGTGAAGTGTGAATTAAATATAACTACATTTCACACACTTTTTTCCATTCTCTTTCCAAATCCCTACCCAAATCTATGCTCCAAACACAACCTTAAGTTAATTTTTGTTTCATAAGTTGTAAGCAAAAGTTGCACCTAACACTCTGGTACATATTTCAAAATTAAAAAAAAAACTATAAGCTACTCCATAAGCTGCACCAATCAACCCTTTTATGACATTAAACTTGCTGATGAGTGAAGCTCATGCCAACTCTACCATATGGAGTTTAGAACTCTACTTTTTATATATCTTGACTGTGCAGCTTGAGCTTGAATAACTTATATTGATGACCCATCTTGTGCTGCTTAAGTTTGAGAGCTCATATATATATATATATATATACATATATATTATGTTTTGCCTATAAGAGAGAACAATTATCACATGCACAGTAATATTTGTAATTTTCCAAACTAAAAATACAGTGGTCATCAATCAACTATAATCAAAATTTTTAAATTCACTTGCTTCCATGTATATTTTTTTAAATTTCACTGAGAGATGTATAAGTACTATATAGCAACTTTTGCCCTTTCAATGTGCCAAGGGTGGCATACTATACAGCAACTTTATGGTGTAAGGTTCATTAGGGTTCTTACTGGCTAGATGCTTTACTGGAATAAGATACATACACTACAACAAATTAAGGGACAAAATTGCTTTTTAAAGAAATTATATTTTAATTGTCAAAAGTGTTATTATTGTGTTTTTAGTGACGTTATTAAAACTTTTTGACATGAAATTGTTTTGCTTCTAAAAGTGCATTTATTAGCGACATTTTCAAAAAAAATTCACTAAAGGTTTTTTTTTTGTGTACTTTTTGAGATGGATTTTTTGTGGCAGCTGAAATTGGTCTCATAATAATTTTTGCAACAAAAGCTTCACTTTTGGGAACAAAAAAGTTTAGTGTGTAAAACTCTTATATGTTGTACTTTTCTTTCTACCCAATAAGATAAAGCTATTGACAATACTTTGTACCAAAAAAATACTTAGAAAAGTATCCAGAATTTAATTGTGGATCAGATTCATCCTGGCCATGACCCAAACCACATCAAGCTTAAATTTACACCATGCATTCAACAAATTATGGAAACCTTTCTAGAATTTTGTAAAACTATTTTGATTAAGAAGATCATGGTTTTTTGCCAATATGGATATTTGGCTTCAAATTTTGTGAAATTTAAAGAAAAATAGGTCTCTCTTTGACACCTCCTACTGATGTGCAGAGATGGAGGAGAAATGAAAACCATTTGAACTGTATCTTCACACAAATCGAATTTAGTAAATTCATTGAATTATGCATATGTTAAGACAATGATCAACCACAAAAATTTGACCTGCTGATTCTTTCTTAAGACAGACTCATCTTGGTTTTGACTAACACTGCAACTTTTATTTGTTGCAATTCTATGAGATCTAAGTGGTTCACCATGTCATATTGATGAGCACTGTCACTATTGAAAAATTAAAACAAATTAGGTCAAACACCAAGTATATATGTAATTGGGGACAATATGATCCAAGAAAGGTCATGCGTGCACTATGAAAATTAGGTCAAACAGCACAGCGTGTACTCCACGGCAGGTAGATAGGCAGCAAATGAAATTTTCAGCATCAAGGACTTGGAAAAGTGAAGATGCTCCATAATTTCAATTGCTGATGCATAATGGTGCATTTATTATATTAATCACTTCAAGTTTCTACTGCATATTAAATTCTGGCTTTACTTAGTGGTCCACAATTTCCTTAATGCAGGTTTTTTGGATTTTCCTTCAATGTTTTATAATCAATTGTCTTGTTAGACTTTTTAAGATTGCTAGGGTTTGCAAATGTTGATTTGGTGAAGCCAACCTTTTAAAAAAAAAAATTGAAAAATGGAACCCATTTGTCGTTGGTCTTTGATGGAGATTATTGTAACTATACTTCAGACCGAAGGATTTCGAAGTAGAATTATATGAATATTGTGTTGATTATTTAATTTTGTTCAAGCAACGAGCCTTTCTGTGCTTCATAGACCTTAGTTCTGTTAACTTCAGTAAAGCAGTCAACTCTGGGTTCAATCTATCAATGATCTCCCTCTCCTAAGGAGTAAAGTTTAGTTTAACTTTCTGATATAGCTACTCATCCCTCACTTCCTATTAATTCTTCTGCGTCTCTTTCTATACTTGATCTATCTGGTAATGATCTATCTTCTTCAATATACAGTTAGTTGTTCAAATTTCGTAGTAGCCTTATTGATGTAAACCTTTTTAATAAAAATGGTCCGATTCCTGATTCTTTTGGAGATATGATTTCCTCACAAATCTGAATCTCAGTTACAATCATCTTGAAGGTGGCCTTCCACAATCCTTTGCACATTTAAGTCATTTACGATCTTTACATCTATCCAGAAACAATTTAACTGAAGAACTTCGCAAGTTCTTTCAAAAGTTGTCTAGGTCAGAGGACTCATTACAGGTTTTGTATGTGGATGACAATCGACTTAGTGGTCCATTTCTTGATTTTACATGATTTTCTTCCTTGAGAGAATTGTCTGTTGGCTTTAATCAGTTGAGTGGCTTCATCCCAGAGACTTTTGGACAACTTCCAAGTCTTGTTTCTCGTCAGTTGTATGGAAACCAAATTACAGGGTCACTGCCTGACCTTTCAATGTTTCCATTATCGTTGGAGCTAGACCTTGGAGACAATCAATTGAATGGGACCATGCACAGAAATATTGGAAAACTTTCCATGCGTGAGTATTTCGTTGTCTATTTCAATTCATAAAAAGGCATACTCTCTGAAACTCACTTTTCTAATTTCTGCTGTCTGAAGTATTTGTTGTTTTCTTCAAACTCATTAACTTGTAACTTCTTTTCTGATTGGGTTCCTCCTTTCCAACTTCTTGTTATTATGTTGTCCTCTTGTAAGTCGGGGTCTCATTTTCCAAAATGGCTTCAAACACAAAATAAGATTTCTAAGCTTGATATTTCAAGTAATGGAATTTCTGATGTTCCTAGTTGGTTTTGGGATCTATCCCCAGGTTGAATTTATTTAAATCTTTCTAACAATCTGATCAATGGCTTGTTGCCTGATCTATCATTGAAATTTCATGATTGACGTGGTATAGATTTAAGTTAGAATCAGTTTATGGGTCCAATACCACTAATTCATCCTAATGTAATACTTTTGAATCTCTCCAAAAATAATATCTCTGGTTCAGTTTATTTCTTATGTGCAATTGCGGGTATGGAGCTCACCTATCTTGACCTCTCAAACAACTTAATTTCAGGAGAGCTTCCCAACTGTTGGGAACACTTTAATTCACTATACATCTTTAGTTTGGCATACGATAATTTGCACGGGGAAATTCCAAGCTCAATGGGTTCTCTATGTGAACTTGAAACTTTGCACTTGCACAACAATGGGGCTGGGTTTGACATTTGGATTTTGGACAGTTTTTGGCACTATGATTTTTAACAAACCATCTGGACACGCTTATTTCAAGTTCTTGGACAGCATAAAGAATTGGATTTATGTGACAACTGCACTGAGTACGTCTAGATTGCAAAGGAGTCTTCAGAGGTAAGTGGTAAGTATCTTTTTTTCAATTTTCTTAGTTCTCATATCTTTGTGTCTTGATCATTGCTAACAAGTTAGACTTTTCTTATTATTATTAATTTTTTTTCAAATCCTACATAGGCCGATTTAAGCACACACTTACTATTTGCTCGAGCTTTGTGGTTTTTCTTAGATCTATTTGTTCTAAGTTCGCTATAAAACACTTTTGCAGGTCTATGTTGCAAGCTATATGGTAACCGCCCTAGTTTTTACTGAGTAATGGCTTGACATCCACTAACTGTTTAGTTGTCATTGTTAAATAAAACGATTGCTACAAATTTTTTCCCCCTTTTCTTGCAGAAGTCATTCACTCCTACTATAATTTTGCAAAACTAATCTTGTAATAACAGTGATGATGATGTGCTCTGCCATTGCAAACCTAACAAAAGCACTAAAGTTGTGTCATATTATGCAATGATACTGAATTAATCCCGTTTATAAACTATATTAATGGTTGGCCAATATTTTGTTAGCCTTAATTTATCTGATAATTGCATTTTTTTTCCCCATTTTTTTGCTATGTTTTCCAAGGAAGCTGGGCTAGACCTGAGAGAGAAACGAGCAGTGAGTTCGGAGCATATGGAGCGGAGCTATTAGCACCAACTGTTACTAGGGCCTCTATTTGTTTTCTTGAAACGATGAAATAACTTTGTAAATATTTATTTTCATGTGTAATTATATATATTGTGGATTGTGTGTTTGGAAGGATTGCAATCTGTTTTCGTTATAAATTGTTTGTTTTATTACGGGTCTAGTCATGAACTTCATAAATATTTATTTTCATGGCTTTTTGAGTATTTGGTTATATTAGCCTGTTTCCAAACGTACCAGAAGAATTTGTTTTACTTTCAAGAAATTAGTTGAAAGAAAATGCATGAAATTTGTTTACCTTAGGGTTTTCTGTTAGCATGGGACTTGGTTTCATCCTTGGATTTTGGACAGTTCTTGGCACTATGCTTTTAAACAGTCCATCAATATTTCAAGTTCTTGGATTACATAAAAAAATTGGTTCTATGTGACAACTACACTGAATATTATGGCCAGACTATAAAGGTGGCTTTATAGATAACTTGTAAATAGGAAAGTGCCCTCATGGTGCCTTGTGCCGATGCAAATAGGAAAGTGTCCTCATGGCGCCTTGCGCCAATACGTCCGTTCCAAGTGTATCATCAAACGCCACACAACCCACTGCCCATGCCACGCGCGTGTGTGCGGTGCGAGTGCATGTACACTAGCATTCATCCCACAATTCCACATTCAAGAGAATATTCTATGTAGCACTTTATTAAGTACTCCATGTTTGCTTCCTTTCCAATGTGGAACAAAATTCCCAAATTTATTTCAAACTTTTCAAAGAAAAACAAGATTTTGAAAACACCAAAAAACTAAATAATAAATTTTAAAAATCCATTTTGAAAATTCCTCAACAATTCACACCACTCGTTTTGATTGAACTTTCACAAAATTCCCGAAAGTCATTTTCTCACCATTAACCAATTAAATACATTTCAAAGTACAATTTGGACAGAATGTGATTGATGATGAAACGAGGTTGCGTTATAGCCAAGTATGGCCTTGACTTGCATTATAGCCATAGATGGCCTCTCATGGCCTTGACTTGCTCCAACCTATATGCACATTCAAAAGAATATTTCATGTAACACTTTATTAAAATGTTTCATTTTTTGCTCTCTTTTTAATATGGAATAAAGTTCCCAAGCTTATTTCAAGCACCAAAAAATTAAATAATAAATTTTGAAAATTCCTCAACAATTCACACCACTCGTTTTGATAGAATTTTCACAAAATTCCCGAAAGTCATTTTCTTACCATTAACCAATTAAATACATTTCAAATACAATTTGAGCAGAATGTGATTGATGATGAAACAAGGTTGCTTTATAGCCAAGTATGGCCTTGACTTGTATTATAGCCATAGATGGCCTCTCATGGGGGCTTTTCCCATATTAAACCAATTTACTATCTTAATTTTTAAATTAGGCCTAATTTGGACGGAATTCTTAAATTAGGCTAAAGTGCTATTACAAATCACGCTTTCACTGTTTGGAGCTGAAAATTTGATAAATAGTGAAAGCGCTATTACAAACCATGCTTTTAATTAAGAAAGCGTGGTTACAAACCACGCTTTTAAGGTAAGTTTGTTTTTTGAAGAAAACGTGGTTCCAAACTACGCTTTCACTGTGCATATGTTTTTTGAAGAAAACGTGGTTCCAAACCACGTTTTCATTGTGTTGTGAAGAAAGCGTGGTTTAACCACGCTTTCAACACTGCCCCAAACACACAAACACTACACTCACAAACACATACTCCCTCTCTCTCTCTCCAAACCCCGCTTTCACTGACTTGTATTATACCCAAAGATGGCCTCTCATGGGGGCTTTTCCCATATTAAACCAATTTACTATCTTAATTTCTAAATTAGGCCTAGTTTGGACGGAATTCCCAAACTAGGCTAAAGCGCTATTACAAATCACGCTTTCACTGTTTGGAACTGAAAATTTGATGAATAATGAAAGCGCTATTACGAACCACGCTTTTAAGGTAAGTTTGTTTTATGAAAAAAACGTGGTTCCAAATCACGCTTTCACTGTACATATATTTTCTGAAGAAAACGTAATTCCAAACCACGCTTTCACTGTATTGTGAAGAAAGCGTGATTAAAAACCACGCTTTCAACACTGCCCCAAACACTACACTCACAAACACTCTCTCTCTCTCTGACACAAATACAAACAAACACAAACACGACTCACACACACACACGACTCACACACACCCTCACACTCAATATATATATAAATTTTAATATATATTTATAATTTAATATATATATAAATTTTATTTCATAAAATTGAAATCAATATTAAATATATATAATAATTTATAATAACAAATAATAATCAACTATATAAAATGATTACTTTTTATTTTAATTCTTAATTTTTTTTATTTTACTGTTTAGGGATAAAATTTATTTTTTTTATTTTAGGGTTTAAGATTTATAAAAAAAAAAAAAAAAAAAATTATCCCTAATAAATTTTTTTTATCTTTACTCTATTATTACATGAAGGCAATTTCTCAATACAATCTCTCTCCTGTCTTGGTATTTGTTTAGCATGTGTTACAATAGAATGTGTTATTTTAGTATATTATTTTATTTAAATCATAATTATTTTATTTGAATCACATCACTTCTTTATTACAGCATTTCAAATCTAAACTATATTTTACGTTTTTCCATAAAAAATTAAAAAGTATAATTTGTGGGTGAGTTGGTCTAGTCTATTGTTTTGGGTACATGGCCTCGTTTGGAAGTTATCCTAGGCTTCGTTTCCAATAAAAAGTTTGGGTTAAAATAGTTATAAAAAGATAAATATTTTGTTTGGGAAACCAAATCTTGAGATTTTTTGGTTAAAATAGTCACAAAAAATAAAACAGGTATTTTAGCCACAAAAAATAAAACATCACATCCAACCCATAATCATTACACTCTTCTCTCACAAAAAAGCCAAAAAAGTCAAAAAGCCAAAAAGCCAACCCACTTCCCAAACGATTCACTTGTAAAGTTGAGATTTTGCTACTTTAGCAAATCCAAACTTTTATTTCCTATATGTTTTTTTAGTAAAAAACCCAAAAATATTTTCCAAATATATTAATTTTTCTATCTCAAATTTTAGCCAAAAAACAGAAAACAAAAAAATTTATTAAAATAAGCACTTCTCAAATGAATTATAGGGGGAAAAAAAATCATAAAATTAAAAGGCAGATGAATATGTAAATAAACATGCAAACTAAATCTAGGTTTAAAACACTTTTGTTTTTTTTTGTTTTTTTTTTGAACAGTGGTTTAAAACCTTCAAATACGCTTGGTTGTCTATGTATTGGACAAGGAGCACTGACATTGAGTAATGATATATTATACTTAAGACGAATTTTAACCACACATAATATATATTTTTTATATTCTAATTTTTTGCTCATAACATCTATATAATAAGATAGGGAGCTTTTTTTTCTTTTTCTTTTTTTTTTTTTTTTTATAAATCCTAAACCCTAAATCTTAAACCCTAAAATAAAAAAAAAATTTATCCCTAAATAGTAAAATAAAAAAAAATTAAGAATTAAAATAAAAAAATAATCATTTTATATAGTTGATTATTATTTGCTATTATAAATTATTATATATATTTAATATTGATTTCAATTTTATGAAATAAAATTTATATATATATTAAATTATAAATATATATTAAAACTAATATATATATATTGAGTGTGAGTATGTGTGAGTCGTGTTTGTGTTTGTTTGTATTTGTGTCAGAGAGAGAGAGAGAGTGTGTTTGTAAGTGTGGTGTTTTTGTGTTTGGGGCAGTGTTGAAAGCGTGGTTTTTAACCACGCTTTCTTCACAACAAAGTGAAAGCGTAGTTTGGAATCACGTTTTCTTCAGAAAATATATGCACAGTGAAAGCGTGGTTTGGAATCACGTTTTCTTCAAAAAACAAACTTACTTTAAAAACGTGGTTTGTAACCACGCTTTCTTAATTAAAAACGTGGTTCGTAATAGCGCTTTCATTATTCATCAAATTTTCAATTCCAAACAGTGAAAAGCGTGATTTGTAATAGCGTTTTAGCCTAGTTTGGGAATTCCGTCCAAACTAGGCCTAGTTTGGGAAATAAGTTACTGATTTGGCTTAATTTGGGAGAAGCCCCCCTCTCATGGCCTTGACTTGCTCCAACCTATCCAATGCAAATAGGAAGCGCCCTCATGGCTCCTTGCGCCGATGCGTCCGTTCCAAATGCAAAGTGCGCCATCAAATGCCACACCGCCCATCCTTGCGGTGTGAGTGCATGTACACTAGTATTCATCCCACAATTCCATATTCAAAAGAATATTCTATGTAGCACTTTATTAAATGCTTTATGTTTTGCTCTCTTTTTAATAGAGGACAAAATTCCTAAGCTTATTTCAAGCTTTCCAAAAAAAAATAAGAAAGATTTTAAAAATACCCAAAAACTAACCAATTAAATTTTAAAAACTCATTTTAAAAATTTCCCAACAATTCACACCGCTCGTTTTGATAGAATTTTCACAAAATTCCCGAAAGTCATTTTCTTACCATTAACCAATTAAATACATTTCAAAGTAAAATTTGGACAGAATGTGATTGATGACGAAACGAAGTTGCATTATAGCCAAGTATGGCCTTGACTTGCATTATAGCCGTAGATGGCCTCTCATAGTCATTTCATAGACTGCAGAATTTTCCAGCAGAGCAGTTGGGTTTGGTGAAAGCTAGTCATATTGGCCTATAGTGTAAAATCCAAAATTTTATGTGTAGAATTATTTTTGGTTAAAATTGTAATTAAATTAATTTATATGGGTCATTTTAGTAACATCAAGGAATTAGTTATGAGGTGGTTTTTTTTAAAATTTTTATTACTTAGATGGTTAAGTTTGTAATTTTGGGAGATTGGGTTATAGGCCCACTTGGGCTTTAGGTCTTGGAAACATAGAAGCACAAACAAATAGAGGTAGTGATGTTGTTGTGGCTGCTGCGGCAGATCTAGCAATAGAAAAAAAAAAAAAAAAAAAGGAGAGAGAAGAAGAAGAAGAAAAGAAAAGAAAGAAGATTCATAGATTGGTGACTTTGATCTAATCATCTCTTGGAGGTAAGATTTGTTTTTATGGTACTCCTAACTATTTCTTTAGACATAGTATCTTGT